GTTACCCCCGTTTACCCTTAGTTACCCCTGGTTACCCCCGTTTACCCCTAGTGACCCCTAGTTACCCCCGGTTACCCCTGGTTACCCCGGTTACCCCCGTCTTAAACTCAAGTCCCTGATTCCTGCAAAGTGTTTCTAAAACTCCTAAAAAAACCTGGGGAGCCCAAACGGCTCCCGGTTAATTTCCAATCGGACTGGACCTCTGATGTTTCCCAGCATGCATCTCACCTCCAGCGACGTTCCCATGACGACCAGCAGGTCGGCGAGGGGCAGGTCGGTGAGGCTCTTCATGAAGAGGGGGGGCAGCTCCTCCCCAAAGAAGACGATGTCGGGCTTGACCACGCCCCCACAGGGGGGGCAGCGAGGGACCGCCCCCCCCATCACGGCCGGCTGCGGGGGGGGGAAAGGGACCGCCGTCACCACGGCAACGGCCAGCGGTCATAATGCTCTGGCTGGGCAGGGTAGCGTTTACAGGGCTCCAGTCAGAATGAGGTGAGAGTTTTATCGTTCCCAAATAATTATTTCCAAAGTACCAGTATACAGTATACAGTACATACATATATATATATATATAGAAAACCATAGATTTAGCAGGGTAGGGTAAAAAAAATGGTAAATAAAACCATAGATTTAGTACATTTACTACTAAATTTACATATTATATATAAATTTATATATATATATATATATATATATATATATATACAAATATGTGCAGCAGATACTCTCCTTCTCATGCCTAAACAGACAAAGTTTCCAACATACAAAGTGAAATTTGATCAAAGTAAATTTCCAACATATGTACAACGTTGAAGTCATAGAAAATATACATAACATATAAAAATAAGATAAAACTGAGTAAGCTAAGATAGTTTAAATTTCAGGTAGTAAAGTCAGAGTAAGTTAGGGTTGGTCCCCTAAACTTCCCACATGAGGGAGGAACATCATAGAAGTACAATAAACACAAAACCTAACAAATTAGAAGCTAAATCATATTTAACTTAACACAAATAATATATTAAAATGACTAAATAACTTGGGGCTCAATTGAACTTAGCTTCAAAATAAACACCCCCATCATGTTTGGAACAATGGTATCTTCCAAGGCTTCCACCTCCAGCTGGATTCTAATTGGGGCCTTAATGGTGGTAGTAGGAGCATCCACCACCATTAGCATTAGCATTAGCATCTGTAACCCACAGGTCTGAGTCCTAACCATTAAGTTGTTATCAGAGCATTAGCATTAGCATTAGCATCTGTAACCACAGGTCTGTGTCCTAACCATTAAGTTGTTATCAGAGTAAATCCCTGTTCAACATGAGTCTGACTACTAAGTAAGTAGATAAATAACTTTAGACTTTAGTCCAGGCTCTGATAGGCCGGGGTCGGGTTATAAATCTGGATCTGGACTCACTCGGATGTCGTTCCCGTCGTATTTCCGTCGGCAGACGGTGCAGGTGGCGGTGGAGAAGGTTCCGTGAGCCTCAACCAGCCTCTCCGGGGGGACGCCGGCCACTGGGCAGAGGGCAGACACCGGCCGTTAGACCCTCAGGGAGGGGGCCTGTAGGAGCCTCAGCTGGGTATCAGACTCCTCCCACATCCAAGGCGGCCATTTTGATTAGGTCATGTGATTAGCAGCTTTCTGAGGTGGAAACCAAACTTTACTGTCTGTACGAAATCAGAAGATAAACCATGTCCTAACCCTTAGCCTGACCATAACCCTAATCCTGACCCTAAAACTAACCCTAACCCCCTAACCCCCTAACCCTGACCCTAACCCCTAACCCTAATCCTGACCCTTTCCGTAACCCTAAACCT